GAAATTTTTCTGAGATGTACTCAGGGCACCCCTTGGTACCTGAAATTGATGGTTTGCCCCTAATGAGCCCTCTCAAGCAGTGGGCAGCATTTTATACCCCTACATTTGGGAGAGTGGCAGTTTTCATCTACGAAACTGTTCTCTGACATGTCAGCCTGCCCCACAGCAAGCAGATGTTTGCATGGGAATATCCTCTCTAGATGAATCAAATCTTCCCAAGGCTAATGCCGGCTGGGAAAGTTCTTTGGTGCACCTATGAAGCTTCCCTGAACCCCGAGCAGCTACCTTTGATGTATATTTTGTGATTAGAAAAGAAAACAAAAATGAAATAGCTTTTTGTTCATCCAAACTGTGTCTCATAGATGAGAATTTTTGTTGACTGAAGGCTTTCTCAGATGTGAGCTTTGCCCTTTCCTATTAAACAAAGGGTTATACTGAGATTGCCTTTTCTTTTATTTCTCCTGAATTTTATTCTTTTTGATATGTTAGGACATGATATTTCATCAACGAAATGGATGAGATAACTGTCTTCCAAATCTCAATTCTGTTTGGTTTCCTGAGAAATAAGTATTACCCAGGCATAAAATCCTTAGTTCAAAGAGTCACTTTTCAAAAGGCAGATGTCTAAAGGCCTGAAGAACATGAAGTGTGATGCTGTATTGGTGGACATTAGTTTTGCTTCTTTAGTAGCCAACTTTTTAGATAATGACACACCCTTAGACAATAGCATTACCTTATAATTTAATGATTGTTCTCTTTCCTCTGTTTCTATTTTTGGTCTGTTTGATAAGCATATTGTTAATTAGCCTAGACTGGCTATCTTTCTTCCTAAAATTTCTAAACTTCTCAAATGCTGAAATAACAGTCAGCTACCACCATGCTTGGCCTAATAAAATGTTTCTTGAGGCAAATGGATTAAATTATAATATCTTAGTTTCTATATTCAACAATGATTACTAATTTAGAAGAGGAAAATGCCTAGTGAAATCACCCCTAGTAATAGGAAAACACAATTTCATCTCTGAAAATAAATATTATGTTGTCTTTGGTGAAGAAGGGGGTCCAGTAGGATGATCCAGCACTATCTGTCTGTGTCTGTCTGTCTGTCTCTATCATACATCTATCTATCTATCTATCTATCTATCTATCTATCTATCTATCATCTCTCTATCTAATATAATGTTTCTCTCTTTTGTAAAGTTACACCACACTCTTGATTACTAACTATTCATTGAAGAAGGCACTACTGTGTGTTCAATAAATTAAGCTCTAATTCCCGAGTCTTACAAAATAATTGACCTCAAAAACAAGATAAATGAATAGGCTTTTCAGAGCTCATGATTAGAATACACTTTCCAGTCTTTATATTAGTAGTTTTCAATTCAGTGATTTTTCCATTCTTTTCTCTCTTCTTTCACAATCTATAACACCTTTCTCCCTCCTCCTGGCTTAGCGCCAAAGCTCTCTTCACTCTTGGTACTAAAATTAAAAGGTTTTCCTTAAGATATTTTAATACTTGGATATTTAAATAATTTTATTGTTCCATTTTAGGACCAACTAGCTAGCTATTTATGAAAGATTGTTGTTAGGCACTTGCTTTCATAAAGTTGTAAGTCAAGCTGACATGCAATGTATATAATTATCTGCTTTGATAACTCACCTTTACTATATCTTGAAGGTTAAAAAGTTTTTATCTTTAATTTATATTTTCTTAGCTAAGATTTTAATTGTAGAAATTTATGGGCATTTTGATAATTTGATACCTGTTTATAGTGTGTAATCATTAAATCAGAGTCGTTTCTATTTCCTTACCCTTAAGCACATTTAAAATTATTGATTAGCACACCATTGTATATATTTGTGTGTGTGATTTTCTATACATATATCTAATATATCCTGATCAAATCAGGAATGTTAGCATTTCCATCTTCTTCCCAGTTACAGAGGTTTAATAATATGTAAAGTAATTTTACATATTATTAGAGAATTAATAGAGAATAAGTAAAAATATATTCTCTTGCTTGAAGAAAAATTACACAGATTCTGTTATCCATGGAGACTAAATAAACTGTTAAATTTTGATATGATCCAGTATCACAGACTTTTCAAGCAAGGACTTGAAATAAGCCCTGCACTTTTACATTATGCAGAGACTGGACCTTAGAAGATAGCTCTCAAGAACTTTGGAAATAATTTTATACACATACACACACACACACACACACACACACACACACACACACACACATATATATATATATATATATATATATATATACATACATACATAGATCTCTATATAGTTGTGGTACATTCTAAAAGCAGTCTTGTTTCCTGGAACTGAAAAGTTGGGAAGTGCTGTGGAATGTCTTTCTGTACTCTGCAAATATGTGTTGCTCTGATTGGTTGATAAATAAAGCCCTTTGACCTATGGCAAGGCAGCTTAGAGGCAGGCAGAAAATTCAAAGAGACAGGAAGAAGGCTGAGAGAGATGCCAGAGAGCCACCTAAGGAGTAACATGTAATGGGACGCAGGTAAAGCCACAGAACATGTAGCGATACATAGATTAATTGTTATGGGCTAGTTTAAGATATAAGAGCTAGCTAAAAAAAAACTTGAGCCATGGCCATGCAGTTATAATTAATATAAACTTCCGTGTGTTTATACTTGGGGGATATGAATGGGAGAGATTTTTTTCCCGACCACCAGCAGGCCAGGGCACAGAGAAACTTCCAACTACATTGGCACCCAACATGGGGCTTCTCATGGGTATGTACCATGGCCTCAGTTGGTAGAGCTGGCTCAGTTGGTAGAGCATGAGATACAATCTCAGCGTCATGGTTTGAACCCCATGTTGGGTGCCAAATGTAGACAAGTTTCCAAATGGTCTTATTAAATAAAAAACATGGAGCCAAATATAGGGGTGAAAGCCTTAGAGATCAGGGAAATAGGGAAAGCCACCAGCCAACCTTACCTCACTAACTCTGCAGCTTCCAAATGGCATGACTTCCTGTCTACCCATGCTTTATATGTCTTGATTTTCTGCACTCTCATTGGCTCTCTTAGCCCAGATACCTCACTTCCTCTTCCTATACAGCTGTGTCACTGTCTGTATGTCTGTACAGACCTCCAGATCTCTATGGTTGGTACTGAGATTAAAGGAGTGTGTCACGACACTTGGCTCTGTTCCCTAGTGTGGCCTTGAAAACACACAGAGATCCTGCCTGCTAGGGATTAAGGACATGGGCTGCCTGACTTCTTTGTTTACTTGAAATGGCCTTTTCCCCCAATCTCCAAGCAAGTTTTATTTATTAATGCACAAATAAAATGTCACCACACGTCTGTGAGAAACAGAATTTCTGTATCTAAGAAAAGTAATGTACAGAAAGAAAAACTATGGGGAAATATGTTAGAAATTGGGGGGAAATATTTAATCCTTTATTAAATTGAAAAAATCCTATTGCAATTAGGGTTAGCTAATGTCTGTTGGACTGGAACTAGTTTCCCTATTATGTATATTTTCTACATGCTAACCTTTTATTAAAATAAAAATACCAATATAAAAAAGTCTTTCTCCAAGAAAGACAACAGAGTCCTCCTTAAATCTGTTGCTTGGACCTTATTTGAAAACAACATAAAATAGTTATGATCAGTAGGGACACAAATTAATTACCTGGAAGATGTTTAATTCCCAACGAATCTGAAAGTTCTAGACTCAAATGTTCACTCAGCCAATTTCTGAGAAAAACCAAATTAGTTTCTAGAGACACTGCAGAAGAGAATTCAACAACTTTCACTTCTGTGTTTTCAAAGAATATACCTGGGCTCACAAAAGAGAGATTTTTTTCTAGTTACTACTTAGAGCCCTTGAATCTTATGGGTCTCCATTCGACCCTGTACCTAGAAGAGAGGACCTGGCTTCCAGGTACAGAAAAAACTGATAAACTCAAAGGATCTTCTGCTCTTAGCCCTTTCTCACTCAATTTACACTCTAAAAATGGGATGAAAAACTTGATGTAGTTTTCCCCAGGTGCTCATTTGTAGAATGACTTCTATGCTTATGTATCTCTGGAAAACTTGAAGGAAAACCAGTGAGGCTGCCTGTGTCCATTGCCTTTAATTACATTTTAGTGTACCAGTAAATTTCGAAACACCCACATGTGGGAAGGAGGAATTCTTTTGTTGATATGTGTTTTTCACATAAAAGCTACAAATCAGAAAGGCCAGCTGTCAGTATTTTGCTCAAAATCTGTAAAATGATAGCTCATATTTACAATGATAATCCAAGGTATCCTGTGGTTTTCTAATAGCCACCTTAGTTATGTTCTTCATAGCTTTATCATTAAGTGATAAAATTGCATGCTAAGTCTCTGGACATAGTCAATTGCAAAGAATTTGAGAGAGTCAAAAGTATTACATTAATTTTAGCACACCTTTTCCAAATACAAGCAATTTAAGTGAATTACACCCTACTGCTAAACCAGTTTGTAAATAGGCAGAGAAAATGTGCTTATCAGTATGCATTTGTTATTACATTAATAATGAACCTTTGTCCATTGTGTTTGCAGTCTATTTTGATGATCTTTTATCAAGTCACGAGATTTTCTAAAATTTAGTAATACTTGGAAGAAAAAATGAGCTATTTTTGGAAGGGCATTGATTGGTAATCTAATATTAACTGATGTGTTTTAAACTGTAAATCATGGGGCTTTCTGATTTCTTTGTGTACTAGAAAATAATAGTTGTAAATTGAATCGCATTGCTCCTCAATAGTCCACTAATAGCTTAATCATAGAATTGTTTTTCCTGTATAGCTGAATGTGCTTCTGCTGTGCTAAGAATGTAGCTGAGTGGTAGAGAACTTTCCTAGCATGTATGAGGGCCTAGATTCGAGTCTCAACATCACCAAATAAAGAGAACAGTAAGTTGTTGAGGTAAATGGTGATCTGTGGCTTTCTACAGATAATTCGTTTATGACTTCTTTCTTATTTTCTCTCTAGAATTTTTCCGAGAGCTGCTGGAGAATGCAGAGAAGTCCCTAAATGACATGTTTGTCCGGACCTATGGCATGCTGTATATGCAGAATTCGGAGGTATTTCAGGACCTCTTCACTGAACTGAAAAGATACTACACAGGGGGTAACGTCAACCTGGAGGAGATGCTGAATGACTTCTGGGCTCGGCTCCTGGAGCGGATGTTCCAGCTGATAAACCCCCAATATCACTTCAGCGAGGACTACCTGGAATGTGTGAGCAAGTACACAGACCAGCTGAAACCCTTCGGAGATGTGCCCCGGAAACTGAAGATTCAGGTCACGCGTGCCTTCATTGCTGCTCGGACCTTCGTCCAGGGCCTGACAGTGGGCAGAGAAGTTGCCAATCGAGTTTCCAAGGTAACTGAGGGCATGTCATCTCCATAGTTGGTCTTCCTCTTTTCTTTAAAAAAAAAAAAAAAACATAAGGTTTAGAAAACAAATTAAGGCAAACATTCTCATTCCAAATGGTCTCTGCTCTTAAAGGCATTAGGTGAATGTCCATCTGTTTTTTTTTTTCTTTTTATAAGAAAAAGAATTTCAAGAAATTCCATAGGGTTTGGCAATTACTGCAAATATTTATCAACAATGTAGCAGAGTTTTCATGAGGAATACTGTTCAAGCAAGTTGGCTTGCAATTAGCATCCCCACATCAAAGACTAGGGAATAATAAATACTCATGCAAGAGTCCACTCAGGTTCTAGTGTTCCAGCAAATGAAAAAAATCTCCCAAGGTGCTGAGTAGAAACAGGACAGGGGCACGGGGAGTCTCTTCTTTATCAGAGTGATATAGCTCCTTAATGGTGAGAGTGGAGCCCTCGCCTGGCACCTGCGGAAGCAGACGCCCATGGGGTGGAGGTGGGGCACTAATGGATACAAAGTGTAGGTTCTGGACGACAGTCCCTTGGGTTATCCTTTATCTTTGTAATTCCATGCTGTATGTTGTGTTGGACTTATGAAAAAGATAAATCACTAATCCACTTTGGGGCCTTGAGGATAATGTCTGTAAACCTTTAATGCAAGGGATCATTCTGGGCCACTGGCTTTCAACATTGAACATTTCCTGCGTGGAGCATATCTGCTTCTGTTTAAGCTCTGCCTTGACATTTTACTGCTCTTATGAGGTGGGCCTGCCCATTTATGAGGTCAGCCCTAAAATAGCCTAAAAAGATGATTTATATAAGAAGTAAAGGGAAAACAATATATAAAAGGGGCCTGGTATTATCTCTCTTAAAGAAGGTCATATTTGTACAGAGATTATTGCCAAACAGTATTTTTTATTGCAGGTCTGTGCCCAAGAGCCACAGAGTTGCTTTTTCTTTTTCTTCTTTTCTTTTTTCCCCTACTGGTCCTACCCTGCAATATTTCTTTTTTGTTCTTCCTTTTTATCTCATCATTTACCTCTTGGCATAAAGACAGTATAGTCTACACTCTTAAAGATATCTCTCTATGGTATGACAGAAAATCTCTAACAATCAATTTTTAGAAATTATCAGTTTCTAAAAAGTTACAGCATATGGAATCATTTTTAAAATAGACTTTTAAAACAATAATTGTAAGGAATGCAATGATATAAAGGTCATATAACTAAGATGGTTAATGCAATATTTATCACTGGATATCAACAATATTTAACCTATCAAAGGAACAGGTTCCTCAGAAATGGTTCAATATGGAAGCAGGCAAGTGGAATAGCAAGAAGATATATGATTCCACAGGGAGGGTCTGTAAAGTACCAACAAGTCCAAGAAGAAAAGGTAGGTCCTATATGCCGTGACCAAGATATAGCTTGCTGTAAGGAATAATTTTAATTAAATTGTAGTTCAATAACTTAAATTAAAATGTAGTCACAGGCTTTAAGAGAGGCCTTCACCCTTGTTGAAGGATGAAATGTCCATTTAGGAAGCATGAGGTGAAAAGCATGGATGAGTTTCTGGTTGCTTGTGTTGATTCCACCTGAATGTGAGTAACATTTTATGTAGCATGGTCTTGGAAGATTCCAAGTTGATGACAAAGTATACATTTTCTTATAAAATATCTAATAAATTAATGTGAAGTGTAGACTAACGACTATTTTTACTTTTTTTTTTTTTATCAGAGGATGCCTTTAATAACTGCCTGAGATTCTTTGCTTGTTCTTTCTTAGGGTATTTGACTCTTGGGTATCTGTCAGATTCTAACATGTCCCTGTTTATGTAAGACATCAGAGACCAACCATGAGTAGAATGTCACCTTCAGATTTTTCAGTTTATGAGGGCTGCATTATACAAAACCAAATTCTCTCTTTCTCTAAGCATCAGCTACAGAGGTTTGGGGTATAGTTTGTGGATCATATAACTGAAAACTTCACTATTCAATAGAGATCTTGGCTTGACTGACATGGGCTTCATTAATCCTAACCACCTAAAACATAAAACCTGTATTGCCATTTGCTCTCTGAGTTTTGGAGATAGAATGATAAGATGGCCGGGCAGTGGTGGCGCACGCCTTTAATCCCAGCACTCGGGAGGCAGAGCCAGGCGGATCTCTGTGAGTTCGAGGCCAGCCTGGGCTACAGCACGAGCTCCAGGAAAGGCACCAAAACTACACAGAGAAACCCTGTCTCGAAAAAAAAAAAAAAAATGATAAGATGGTGTGTAGATATACTTCCTGCCTGGCCACTGGCCAATCAGTGATTTATTTATTGACTAATCAGCAACACATTTGCCATACAGACCATCCCACAGCATCTATGTGTTCTTCTGATGGGGGATTAAGAGTTGGTGGGATGGTGACAGAAGTTTAGAGAATTCAAGGAAAATTCAAAGGTAGATGTCAACTATTCTCATCATCGTGTTTTGGGAATTTGATTCCCTTCAATTACTCCTTTTATTTCAGTGACAATTTAATTCTTTGTAAGCATCATTAATAACTTCTAATTAATTGTTTTGACTGGAAATGTGCTTCTTTGGCAAAACACAGCAGTATGAGACAAATGTTTTGACAGAACATAATTGGGAAATTTCTTATTAAAAAGTAGAAGATTAATTTGTGGACTTCAACAGAATTATTTTTTAAACTTAGGCTTGCCCTCTTATGGATATAAATGATGCTTTTTCTATCCTAAAAAATGAGGAAATAATATTTTGTGACTATAGCCAAAGCTCTACATGAAGCATTATAAGATTCTCATATGAAAAGCTATGATCAATGAGCTAAGATTTATTTTCTGTATGAATTACTAGTTTTGAGTATGCCAAGAGTTGCACGACATGGAGTGTCAGGACCTTTCATATTTTTGTGGAGTGAGTATAACACCCCTACTTTAACTAAACAAATTGAAAACACCTGTCTAGTTGAACACATCAATACCCTATAACTGCAGTTCTTATCCAAGTGACTGATACATATGTGTTCAAGTAGACATGTAGAAGAATTTTCAAAAACATCTTAATTGCCCAATCTAGACTCTATCAACAATAATCTCTGCACACCATGGAGTCCTTTGGAGCATGAACATGAGCTATACTATACTCAACATTTGGATCTCACAAAGCTTCTTTCAAGAAGAAAACATACAAATCACCAAAGATGACTCACCATTTATACAAAGCTGAAACAATGTGAAGCTAAGCAATACTACTCAAGAATGTACAAAAAATAATAATAAATGTGGTAAACTCAGTAACTTCAGACTAAAAACAAAAATTGCACAATGGTATTCATGATGTTGGGACATACGGTCAAGCAATGATATAGTGACGCATTTGAAGTTAGTGATAGCTATTTTTAAGCTGGGTACTAGATATAGAGGGCCAGAGAGGTGTCTTCATGCATTACATGTAATATTTTTTAATCAAAGAAATTAATGTAAGGAAATCCTTTACCAGTTGCCCAGCCATGCCTCTTTTTATCTGTGTAGGTATAATCATGATTATGAATTACCCTTTTTTTTCACTTGCTAACCCTTCTTTAGATTCTGCTGAATAGTTCTTGTTAGATATAACAGACACATTTCTAAAAATGAATGTACAGACCAGCTTTGATAATGTAGTATTTACTACATTAAAGCAATGGAGTAAGTCTATTTTTCATCATTTTAACTCTACTAAAGATCCATTATTATCCTCCTTTTATGTACACCCATTAGTGAGCAGACACATGGATGCTAACAGCTACTCTAAAGGCTTTTCAGAAAGTATACACAGGGTTTCCTAAAGACATCTTAACTGCATGTCTGCTCACATGAAGTTTCTAACATTCATCACAGAGGCCAGTGTAGTAATCACTCTGGTGTCTTGCCTGGTCTACAATGTCACCATTTACAGACAAAAAGCCTGACTTTTTCTCCTTTCTTTAATAAAAGTAACAGCCTAGCCAGGCATGTAGGTAAGTTAGTAAAGTGTTTATAAGCATAAGACCCCTTAGTTCAAACCCTAGAAGACACACACACACACACACACACACACACACACACAGCAGAGAGAGAGAGAGAGAGAGAGAGAGAGGAGAGAGAGAGAGAGAGAGAGAGAGAGAGAGACAGAGAGACAGAGAGACAGAGAGAGAGAGAGAGAGAGAGAGAGGTCATGGTGGCACAAGCCTTTAATCTCAGGACTGAGACATGTAGTGACAGGAGGGCTTCTCTGCGGCTCACTGACCATCCAGCCTAAAGTTCTTGATGAGTTCCAGGCTAGTGGGAGACAGTGTCTCAAACAAAATAAGAAAAACAAAACTGTGGGTGATACCTGAGGAACAATACCCATCATTGTCCTCCTGTCTATGCACAGATATACACAAACAGAGGTATAAGCACAGGCAAGTGGATTTACTTATCCCCCCCGCCAAGTTACTTTGTTAGGTAAAAGCAGAAAATTGTGCCAAGATCAATCACATCAACTTTGCAAGTCATATCATTGATTTATTTCATAAAAATTGAGTCAGTTAACAGAGCTGCGAACCATTGCACCTGGAGTATTAACGAATACTGTCATTTATATTTCTATTCTTTCTTCTTTGACTTTGAAAGGCAAGTGTGGCTTTTCAGTTTTAGAAAAACAAAGAATTTTTATTCTGCCTGTGTTTCCTGAGCGTGCTGGTGCTTTTAACTAAGAACACTAAGAAGTAGACCCATCTACCACAGTAAATATCTCTACTTCGGCCCCCTTCTGACCACGATTGAAAACCATTCTGAAAGAAGCACTGTATATTCTACTTATGGGGGAAATTGCATTCTGTTTTAATATTTGAAGTTTAGAAAATTTTAAGATACAAAATAAGAACATCTGTGGGTACCTATCACCTGAATTATTAGTTTCCTTCTTTCTGTGGTGATGTTTTGATTCGATTTGTGACATTTTCTAGAACTGAAAAAGACCATAAAA